TGGCTGTGCACTTCCTCTGCCTCGAGTGGTTCAAGGCATAACACAGTGCCTGAGAGCAAAACCAGAGCAATCTACTATTCTACTGCACTCTAGTATTAACACATCTCTACCGAGATACCCTGGGCCTGATACAAGGGGAGGGAGGAGGGGGAGGGAGGGGATGGAAAATAGTTCGTACAGAGGAAGGAAAAGTCCCTACTACAGCTGGAACCCCTATACTGCAATCAGATGGTCCATACTACAACTGTCCTGAAAATTCAGACCATTTAATGTATTCTTGGCAAATTTTGAATGTGTTGGAGGGCTTTGGCGCGGTGCTCCTCGACGGCTGTTCGTATGGTGCTCTTCTTTGAGGGACGCTTTGCAGGGCTTTTGGCATGGCGCTCTTGGAGGGCTCTTTGAATGGTGCTCTTGGAGGGGTGCTTTGGAGGGCTCTTGGAATGGTGCCCTTAGAGGGGTGCTTTCAGTGTTCTTGGAATAATGCTCTTGGAGCGGTGCTCTAGGAGTGCTCTTGGAAGGGTGTTCTTGGAGGCTACCCACCTGCAATGGGTACATCTGCCCTTACATATACGCATATACACCAAGCACTATCATCTTTCTTAAAAAGTCCCACAGAGGTGCCCTTTTTTTCGTGGAAACCCCCCAACTATCTTCAATTATGGCTTTGCATACCCTGAACTTTCGGAATAGTCATAGCCACACGTTATGATATGGCCATTTCTGGTTCCGTATACCCTGAAGTGATTCGAGGACGTTTGTTATAGCTGGTCCCTTTCAACTTCTTGATATTCTGATGAATGAGGGTCTGTAATACAACTCAGGCATCCTCGCATTACATCACACGCCCTTCCCTCGCAAAACGAACCCGTTCCTGAAATCTTGCTGCACATGAATTTGATAGTCGTGGCTTGCCTAAAATCAGCCTTCGGTTGCAGTACGGACGGTGTAGTTGTGGTCTAGTTGTGGTATACGGATTTGGTTGTAGTAGGGCGAGCGAGAAGGGGGGCGGTGCTCCCCTTTAACTTGGGGGGGTGAAGGGCCAGCCCGCCCCTCCCCCCGCGCTTGAAGCATGGATGACTTGAGAGACTCTGTTTAACTCGGCCCAAGCGCTGCGGTAGAAGTCACAGTCAAGTACTGAAGTACAAGTTCACTCCGCTCACGGTTCCGGAGAGCAGAATGACAGGTACTACGAAAGTGCATCTCACCGCCCTGCACAGTCCTGGCAATGCCTAAACGTTCTATGCTGAACCCGTCTAATGTGGTAACAATTCGCATCACAATGCCAGCACCGTCCAGAGTTGGTGACATAGATGCTTCGTCCCAAGGGACAAACTGCATGGTGAGCGTCCAACTCACGCTGCAAACGGTTGTACCTATCGAACTGCTGATCGTACAGCTGAGCAAGTTGTTCATGCTCCCTGCGTAGTTCACGCAACTGTGCCCTCAATGCTTCACTCTCATGATGAAGCTCACGAGGTGGATCAGGAACGGGTAGATCATTACGAACAGGATTCCCAGGAGGCACAGGAGGAGGACGTGGAGTCGCTGGAGGTTCGGCGTCTGGTTCAACATCACCGTCAGCGTTTCGTTGGGTGATCGAACGCCAAACCCATGTGACAAAGAGGAGCATGCCATGGTAAGCAGCAATGATGATGATCGACAGCATCAGCAGCCATGTCCAACCGTCATCCGGCGCCGAGGTAGGACAGGTAGAACTCGCAGGCGCGGAGGTGGAACTGGCCGAAGGAGACGGACTCGTGGTCGCCGAAGTAGTCGTTACGACGGCAGCGGTCACCATCCAGAAGCACCAGGACCTTGACATCAGCAAGCATGCCGCCGTAGCTGAAGTCGACACACGAAGATCCCGGATAAGCTCTTTATCCGTTCTGTTCAGGTGCTCTTCGGTCACAACCATCACCTTGGGAACACGACGCAGCGTCATCTTGTGCTTGGCTTCATTGAAGAACTGGACCACGCCGCTGCTGAGGACACCCATCATTTGCGGAGCCAACATGCCCTTGGTGAGCGCGTCAGAGAGCATACTCTCGGTCGGCGTAAGAGCGCTGCCTGCCGGAAAGTCTGGCCTCTCTCAACGACATCACACACAATCGTTGAGTCTTATCTTGCGCCACTGAGGTTGACCCTGAGGCCAGTTCCCACAGGTCTTTACAGTCTGTGTACCCATCGCAGGGTAGCTCAGGCACTCCACCTTCTTGCAGGAGAAGCAGTGACTGCACGGTCGGAGCCTTCGGGGTGTAGAGCAACTCACCCAGGCGCACTGCAACCAACGTGGAGGTCTCCATGCATGACACGGCTGCCAACGTCTCGGCATGCGAAGTCGAGTAGGAGACTCGCTTGGCCTTGGCACCATGTGCCCAAAGCACGTGGCACTTACCACCCATGAGATGCGTTTGGTGGTCCTCCATGACCTCTTCGTGGCTGTTGAAGTCACGGAGGTGATCTTCCATGAGCAGAATCATGATTCCTTCTTGTGCACACTGGCGCACACTTCCAGCTGCGCTGCTATCATGTATGCATGCCAGCCGAAACGGAGGCCGGAGCTTCCTGAAGTACAATCCAAGGCCTTGTCCGATTTCGGACTGTGCTTTGCGAACAACCTGGTTGGCCTGCTTGAGATGACCAATGGTCGCCTTGGTCACCATTGATTGCAAGATACACACCTCCGCAATCAAATCCAACCTGGTGGCCGTCAACCAAAGCAAAGCTCCTAGCACCGACCGAAACGAGGTCAACTCGGTCGCGGTCAGGGAGTCACTGTCTCCACGTGAAGGATCAATGTCCACCGTCTTAAGCTTGCTACAGAAATCATCCTGCTCCATGCAGATCCCGTCCGGGATGCGTCTGTAAACCACGCCACAGTGCGTGAAGGGAAGAGTCTGCCTGGTAACCTTGCCAAACTTCTTGACCAACAACTGGTACTGCTCATCAAGCCACTTGCGCTTGCCTTCTGCGCCGCAGTCATCCACATGCGTGGTAACGGAGGCCCGATCGCCATCGGCAAAGCGCCAGATAAAGTAGTTCTCATCCAGCAACGAAGGAACCCCGCCTTGTTCCTCCCAGTGGCCACGCAGACACAGCTGCCAAGCCAGTGGAGCATCGTTCAGGCCATACACCGGCTTGATGCATAGTAGTGCCCACTCATCCAGGCATTCGTAGTCCACGCGGAAGGACGCATCGAACTTGGCCAAATGACGCCAAACATTGGCTGGGGCAATGATTACCACCTTCCGGACTGGCGAAGTGATACCCCGAGATGCCAAGAGCTCACGAACCTTCTCGAAGGTCAGGCCCTTCAAGAAAGCGCCCGAAACGTCCCAGCTCTCGGTGTCATGGTCGTGATTCACCGCCGTAGACACCAGGAGACGCTGACTCAACCTGGTGGCCATTGTCGAACGTGTTGACAGAGTGTCCCGCTGGTTGTCAAAACATCCTCTGGCACACAGTCTCGACTTCACCTTCCTGGAGCCATCAGGATAGCGCTTCCACTTCCTGATCCACACGCTGTCAATTATAACTGTGTCACTGGAGATCGAGGACACACGGACCTTCTTGAAGCTGCCCGTATCCACAAACTGCTTTATCTCCTCAGAGTCGGCCTGTTCCACTTGCGGCCATATGCCATACACTTCGTCCTCGGCGATGTTGTCAGTGTCGTTGTCCACCTTGTAGATCTCGCCGCTGGCCAGGGACGCATACAAGGTTTCGTGCCGCTTGCCAGGCCACGAAAAGAGATACTGGCTCGTGGTTGCAGCTCCCGTGGTTGCCATGCTCGACCGCCAGGAGTACTCATCCCATTGTGCCATCGCATGATGATTGTCATGGAGACACCAAGTCATGGGGAACTCCCACTTGATGAGTTGCCGCTGCAGCATCAACCAGTAGAAGTTGATCAGGTTGTGTTGTGTTCGAGTCGTAGCTCGCGTCGAGGAGAAGATCTCCATGAAAGTGCCCAGACGCTCTTTCTTGGATTCCGGGCCAAGGACCAACCGTGCGGGTGTCCGGTCCTTTCCGCTTCAGGTCACGGTCGACATCCATTGGCTCTTCATCCGATTTGTTGGTGCTGGCTGCCTGCTCATCCACTTGCATGGGCACAGCCTCATCGACAGCACCTTCGGAGGGAACAATCTTCAACGACGGTCCAGGTTCGTAGGACACCGCGACGACGAAGTAGAGGTAGATGAAGGCCACTTCGTCCACTGAGGCGGCGGTGATCTTTTTCATGGTGATCGGATCATCGTTGTTATGCTCATGGCAGGTGTACTTGTCAGAGCCAGCTTTCCAAAGAAGCAGGACGCCAATGGTGCCTCGAGGTGGATGCAACGTACGTACGCCTTGCCCCAGGATCAATCCTCCAACGTTACGGTTGGAGATGGCCTTGGCGAGGGATACCAGCTTGGCCCATGCTTCTTCATAGGCCAAGGAGGAAGTGGATGCCCTTCGCCAGGAGGTGCAGCCATTCTTAAATTCAGGGACCCATCCAACGGTCACCGTCTTGTACGGGGCCATCTTTTCCACAATGTCCTTGAACCACTGGAAGTCGTTCTTCTGCTCGTTGCTCAAAGTCACAAACACACCTGCAGCATGTGGCCTGATGCGTCGGAGGGCCACCAGATATGGTCTGCCTTGGTAAGAGATGATGGCCGTACCCTCCGTCTGGCTTATCCGAAGCAGCTCTGCAGGTCCTCGCCAACCAATGTCACCCTGTACCTGAGGTCGTGTTCGGTTGGCACGAGCCACTCTGTCCTCTGCAATGGCCTTGTGCACCATGGACAGCGCCAGTTGACGAACTCGAATGGCTCGTTCAAAGGGTGTTACATCCGTTTGTAAGGCACCTGTAATGGCCGTGACGGAGTCCGTGTCGTCCTGAAAATAGGGCCTTGGGAGAACCCCGAAGACGCACATGGCAGGGGTTGCTCCCCCATAGTTGAGGGTCATGTTTTGCGCTGAAGCGGACTCCCTGCACAAGTCGTCAATCTCAATGGAAATGCCCTGCCTGTCAAGCTCTGCCTCTAACTTCGCCATCGTAATTTCGACAAGTCTGATATGCCTTTCGGCAAGTCCTGTCCCGGTATGTTGGGCGGCTGCCGGTCCGGAGGTCGTTCCTTTAGGAACTCGCTCGATCCCAAAGCGCTCCAATTCTTTTCCAGCCTGGTGACCCATAAGTGAAGACTCTTGGTCGAGCACCAGTTGAGAAGGAGGGCCGTAAATCGAGAACCACCATTTCAGCATTGGTTGGAGGAGATCATTGTGTTCTCGAGAGCTCACGGCCATTCCTGCCTTATAGCGAGTCGCCTCGTCCACCATCATGAGCACCCAGGTCTCCTTGTACTGGAAGAGGTCGCACTGGACTCGGCTATTGAAGCTCGACGCTTGCGATCCAATCTTCACCTGTGGTCTGGGGGGAAGTCGGACATGCTTCCTGCAGATAGAGCAATTCATGATCGCTTCCTCTGCTAACTTCAGAACTGTTCCATCCAGGCCAGCTCTGATCAACATGTTGCGGAAGTCGGAGATCGGAGCGTGGTAGAACCTCTCGTGCAAACCCAGCAGCAGCCATCACCGGGTCATTGTCAGGCAGGTCGGACTGAAGCTTCTTGAAAACCTTCCGGAAGTCGTACAGAGGCTTGATAGGCTTTGCTTCGTCCGTCAGGTTCCGGCCGAACCGCTTTAAACTCTTCTTCCTCAGCACCTTCTGCTCGTTCTTCAGGTTGTGGTTGTTGTGGTGGCGCAGGCGCCGAGGAACGAGGTGGTTGTGCTGGAGGCAGCGCTGACGGCGCGGATGGTTCCGAGGGTCACCGTGAAGAAGAAGATACCTCCCCACCATTTTCTCTTTCGGACGGAACGTAAGGAGCAGCAGGCCTGGAAGCAGCAGAGGACCGAGCCCGGCACGATCGACGTCCGGATCATTGTGCCAATGACCGAAAAGATGGACATGCCAATCCGCATCCTCCACAGGAGCATGTAGTTGATAGAAGACGCATGTCCTCAACGGCATTGATCCGCCAGTGGCGCACATCGCCCTCATTGAGAAGCCGCAGAGGCGCACACTCCGAAGACAGATCAGGATCTGGCGTGCGCTGGCTCCACGGACGCAAAGACAGCATGATGGCCAAGACATTGAAGTGAGGTGCGAAGGCTTCTTTGACCACCTGAAGCAGGACCAAGTCGTCCACCCAGTGGTCGTAGTCGATCGCCGTGGCCTCCTCAAAGATGCCCAGACCAGCTTCCACCATCTGCATGAGGGCCGCCTTCAAGTACAGCCGTGATTCGGGAAGAAGCTCAATGCTCGCATCAACATCCAAGCGCACGGAGGAATAGTCCCCGCTACGGGCAAGGAACTTGAAGGGGCCAGTCGGATCTTCCAAGGCACCTGCCGGAGTTCTGGCTGAAGTTGTCGTAGGTGCTTGAGGTTGATGGTGTGGTTGCCCGTAGCGACACTCACCTGGCACAAAAGTGTGTTCAACGCCAGGAGGAGCAGACCGACCCAACTGGCACCGCTGGCATGAGTAGAAAAAACCATGCATCCAGAACAGACTGCGTGGCCACACTAGACAGCGACGCAGTCCATCTTGGCGAAGGATACGCGCCAAGTCCTGAGCAAACAGCTTGCACAGCTTTCGCGGATAAACCGCGGCCATGGCCGTGCGATTGATGCCATGCAATTGGCCTTGCAGAATGCCATGTGGCTTGCCTTTGTGACCGCCACATCTCTTCAGGATTCCACGCCATCGCCGGTTGCTCAGGAAGGCAGTCGCCTTTCGCACAGGTTGTTGCGCTTCATCTTGAGCGCCTAACATGCACTGGTCAAGTCTCTGCTTTGCGATGCCCTCATGGTCAAAGAGACGAGCAATTGGGCTGTCTGTGAGCATTGCTGACCCCAGAGGTTGTTCAAGTGTGAACGCTCGCCCTTCATTGCGCTGCGCGCAGGAAGGACAGCGTTGGTATTTCAGCACGTCGATCATGGTCGCGAGCTTGAACATCTTTCGTGCTTGACGACACCGACCAAGGTCCACACGAAGGTGCCCCAAAGAGATGCGCAGTTTGGAACTCCTGACAGCACTCATGGATCATGGCCTGATGTCGTGGTAAGGACATATCCCAGCCGTACCGGTAGTCCACGGGAAAAGCCACTGCGAAGCCCGCAGCCAGAAGAAGCAAGGACAACCTTCCACTGCCAGAGCACAACTCTTGGAACTGCAGGCGCAAACTGCGGCCGCGGGATTTCTGCATCCACGCTGAAAAGTTGCGTGGGGTAATCGGCCGTCGGCCTGATTGGCTGTAGAACTCCTCTGGCATGGCTCGATAGTACTGCTTGGCTCTCTTGACCCGTTCCACGGGCCAATGGTCAGGGAAGCTGTCTCCGGCATACGGAGGGAACAAGTCGAAGTCCTCGCCAGTAGGAGACGTGGTTGCCAGCTGTTCTGCTGGAATGACCTTGCCAGGAGTGCGCAGGCGAAACTTCGTGATCCCAGTCCACAGGTGTTCAAGATCACGATTGGGAACTGTCGAGTGGTCTTTCTGCTCGTCGAGGTAGTGGTCGGATAGTCGTTTCTCGCTCGCCAGTGAGGAGAAGCTCGTCCACAGGAAGGTCAGGCGCGCCATTCAGGGTGAACAGGACTCGTCGTGGTACGCGATGATGTCTGACCAAGTAATGCTCCTCTATCGCCCACGAGTCACTTGCCAGTCTACTTCGTCTATCAGATGGATCCTCCAGAAACGGCTTGCAGTGATCATAGCTAAGTTGTCTAAGCCCAGAGGTAGTCGTGGAGAAGGTCGCTGAACTGTTGCCTGAGGAGTTGACTTCTAACGTCAACTCCCGGCCTACGGGAATCTGGTCCCCTGCTTGACCCTCGATAGCTGTAGTCACGCCTTCCTCAGCGGTGGTACATGTGGTTTCGCTAGCTGTGGTTATCAGAACCTCAGTGGTCGTGAATGTGGTGTTTTCATCGCCAGCCTTTCGGGCTTGCAGTTCACAAGAGGTTGCTCTTGTAGATGAGGTAGTCGAGGAGAAGGTCGATGGACTGTTGTCTGAGGTGCCTTGCCCTTCCTTTCTTTGGTGTTCACACCGCTCACGTTCCGGAGCCGAGCAGGATGAGTGTTGTAGGAAGCAGTGTCGGACATCATTCCATTTCGCCCGAATTGCCGAAGCGAACATGCCGAGCTGCTCGCCAACCTTCGTTGCATCCTGCTCTGTCACGTCGCAGTGTTCATCCACAGGAAGAAGATAATGTCCTGAGTCAGTCAACAGAATGCGCAGGTAGTGCCTCTCTTGATCAGGCTTTTGCACCACCAGCACGCCATCACCGTTTTCGAAGTAGTCCGTCAGGATGGCAGCTCGTTGCCAACGAAGCGCAGGGTTTCCAAGCAAGGCCGGACACAGTGACCCATCGCCTCCCAGCACGTCAGCGCGATAAGCGCCATGCGCCCCCGACAGAGTGAGAGGAATCGTGACCTCACCCATCGTGCTCTCGGGGTTGCCCGAGATTCCACTCACGTTGTGCTGCTTCTTGTGATCCCACGAGACTGCTTGCTGCTTCTCAGGAGGAAGAACACTCAGAAGATCTCGGAGGGTCTCGGATCCAACCAATCCCGAAGCAGCACCAGGATCTACCAAAAGACCACGCCTCTTGTCGCCCTTCACCGTGTGATAGTTCTCCAGGGAAGAGAAGATGCCGAGGGCAAAGGAGAAATCGAGGCGCTTCTCGACAGCAGAGGCAGCAGCTTGATCTTCCGAAGGTGGTTCCTGAACCGAAGTGGAGGCATCCGTGGTCATAGAAGCCTTTGGACGGTTGAGGTGCAGAACCGTGTTTAGATCCTCGTCCTCAAAGCGAACGTGCTTCTTTTTCAAGGGGGAAGAGCGCGGAGGTGGCCCGTGGAAACTATCGTTCAGCTGCTTGTCACTGAAGCCGAAATAGTTGCCACCGCCGTAGCCCGAGCCGCCTTTCTTACCATAGCCTTTTCCATAGCCACGGTAAGGAGTCCACTTGCTCTTGCCCTTCTTGCCTCTTCCTTTTCCATATCCACCTTTCGGAGATCGGGGCTTGCCATAACCCTTGCCATAGCCGCCCTTGTTGCCGAAGCCGCCTTTGCCGCCGGCATAACCGGGCGAACCTTTCGAATTGCTCTTGCCCTTGCCGGTGTTCACAGAGCAGTTGGAAGAGGAACGCCATCTCGATCCGCCGGTGGAACAGCTGCGGCCCTTTCCTTTGCGCATGGGAAAGGCCTCCTCATTCGAGAGCATTGGAGGCTGAGGCTGAGGCAGTCGCCGAGGGTTCCGAAGGTTCTCGAGACTCCGCGTCGTAGTACTCCTCCTCACCGTAGTACTCCTCTTCGTACCACGAAGGCTCCCAAGCCTCCGATTCTTCCGGCCACTCGTCTGGCCAGTGCTCGAAATCATCCTGCCAGTAGGACTCTCCATACCAGGCGTCGTCCCAGGAGTCTTCCCATTCATCCTCTTCGTCGCCCATGAAGTAGGAGTCGTGATTCTCCTGAGCTCGGTGCACCAGTCGAAGAGCAAGGGCTCGTGCTTCCTGAAATCGCCGGAGATCTCCTTGGATCTGCAACTTAATGTCATCCACCAGCTTCACCGGAAGTTGCGCGGCCTTGAAGAAGAGGTAAAACTTGGCCACGTCATTGATCTCGAAGCCAGCCCTCGTCGTGGCCTCCTCCAGCCGCATGTCGAACTCGATGCTGAACTCGGAGAAAGCCATCCGGCCGCGGCGGAACTCCATGAAGTCCTCTATGCTCTTTGACACCAGCTCCTGGTCCGAAAAGCCGAAGGCGTCTCTGAGCGAGTTGCACAGCGATTGAATCCCACTTGGTATCGAGTTCTGCAGGATGATGGCCGGGTTGGTAGGATCTCTGACCTCGTCGACCGACAACCGGACCAAGGCGTCCGATCCGACGTCCACTCCTCCATCCGGTCGTGGTAACCGAAGTTGAAGTGCCAGACGTTGTGCTTTGCCTTGGAGTCGTCCAGCCACCAAGGGGCCTACCAGCTCGTCCGCGCCATCAAATATTTGATACCAAAGCTTTAATTTGTCGAAAAACAACCGCAACGGGTAGTCAGGCAGTCCTGGCGACCACCCGGGAGGACAGTCTCGACGAAACTCCTGGAGGGGGATACCTGAGCTGTTCGGATTCGTTGACGAAGAAGACATCGGTTCAATGAAGTCGCCAAAGAGGCCGTCCAGAAACAGGTCGCCGTCCAAGATCAGCTCGCCACTGGTGAACAGAATCGAGCAGCCGAAGAAGTCCAGGTGCCCGACAAAGTCAAGGAAGCAGGTTCGCCTTGTGTCCTTCTGTAGGGACCGCCGGGCTCGGCTATCGCAGAAGGCCTGCTCTGCGACGATTTCCAGCCGCCTGGTCTTGCCGTAGAGGAAGCCGCCGTCCGGGCCGAAGGGGTCCGAGGTCTCGTTAAAGAGCTCGAAACCGGTCGTGCCGAAGGGCTCGTTCCAGAAGATCTGGGCCGCTGCCCAGCACCCAAGAAGGAGAAGCAAAAGAAAGCTTGCTCCTTTCTTGTCTCCAGATCCTTGCTGACCGTGATCTCCAGAGCCAGCAGGTTCTTTCAAAGTGCGAAGGTGGTTGGACACAAGGATGTCCGTCGTGATATTGTACCACCAACTGTTGCCGTGGAAGGCGTGGAGAATCGTGGTGTCGAACGTGTTCACAAGGAGGTTGTAGGCGCAGCGGTGCCACGCGAAGCTATGGGCTTCCAGCAGCCTGCTGTTTGGATCTACGCCCTGAGCAGCTAACCTGCTCCGCTACCAAACTTGAGAGACTCTGTTTAACTCGGCCCAAGCGCTGCGGTAGAAGTCACAGTCAAGTACTGAAGTACAAGTTCACTGATGAAACACCTAAACAATGACCCAGAACCACATTTTCACCGACCTAGAACTGCCGCAAGCTCCAGGAGAGCTAGTTTTTGTAAGTTTTCTGGTGCATTCCCCCTTGATCTTGCGAGCACTGTAAGGCTAATCATGCTAATCATCAGCCTTCACAATGATTCATTGCCATCTGCAGTCACGGCATCTAACCCAACCCTGCAGCCAGCAATGTCCTTTTGGGCAGCACGCTGCGCCGACTGCGGCCTGACGACCACGCAAGATTCTCCAGGTTGGGGTCCGCCGTGGGATTTGCCCACAACGCTCGCAGAAGCGTGTTCTTCTTGGTGTCTTGCTCAAGGTTGCAACTTCCATTTCTTTCAGACGTTATTTGCTTGCATTACCACGAGCTTGAAGGCCTCCCGGGCTTCAACTGGTCACAGTGGTCATAACAGGCAGCGCATCTCTGGACCTGCTGAACCCTGATTCACCCTGAACCCAGACTTCCAAATGCTGCCGCCAACACTTCGGCAGCGTGGGCGGCCGCTCCGGTGGCACATCTTCAGGGCGCCGCCGGGGAGCCTGAACATTGTTGCACCACGGCAGAGCAGAAGTACAGTTTAGACTCGTGAGCTTTCCTGTGTCAGGCAACATGCAGACAAAAAGCCTGACCAGACATTATGAGTTGCGGTTGAAAGCTGCCTCTGGTGATCTTACAGGACATTCCTTGCATTCACGCAACGCCAAAACCACAAGGTTCAAACATGAATCCAAGGTCAGATTGTTTTCTTGCTGCCAAGCCTTTGCGGCAAATGCAAAGCGCTACCCGCAGCTACCCACACCTCGTCTGCCCTCTGGGATCGGGTGCGTCGCACCACCTGACAGGCTTCGAGCGGAGGTTCCAGACATCTTCGCCAGAAGGCCCTGATGACTTCTTGCAGGCGTCCGGGGCCTGAGATGCTTTGGCGGCATCTGCGGCTCTGACAGCTGCCTTTGCCAAATTGGCTGCGCAGTACTCTGCATGCTGTTCAGTTGTTCAAAGAGTCCATCTGTCAGCAGGGCATTAGGAATCCATAGGCGGTAGTTCTGCCGAAACTGATAGCAGCTCTGATGCCTAGCCGGCATTGCCTAATGCCAATCTTGGCCATGATAAAGCAAACAACTCAGAAACGAGATGCGTCCGCAAGCCTTCTCCAACATAGCAGGCGGCAAAAAGCGAAGGGACCAAAGCACATGTACTACACATGAGCTGCATACATTTTCGGGAATTCCCCCGTCATGTCGGCCATCTCTCTAGTGAAATGGATGTGGCATTCAGGAAGTTCAAGAAAAATATCCAAGGGTACAGTGTTGCATTGAACTCAAGGGGGTCACGAGGAAGGGGAAAGTCTAGCTAAACTCCAAGATTCGAAGCTGCACATGCATCAGTGCGAGGGTATTGTAGCAATCCGGACATAGTTGTTCAACCAAAAGCTCTCAAATGTGGGAAGAGATCCTCCGGAGCTGGTCGAACTAGAAGATTTGACAGGAGTCATGTCACATCATGATACAATACACGAACTGATGAAGGTTTGCAGGTCAAGACTCGGATTTCGTGAGGATTTCTGACACATAACGGCGGAAAATGTAGGACTGTAGGGTGGCTGAACAGATGAGCTGACAAGGATTTACAAATCAAGCCTCATAGGATGTCTCAGGCCACGCCTTTGGGCCTACTAGATCCTCCAAGATAATGGACAGCCCTTAAGCCTATGTCCCAGTCTCCAACCGCTCAAGGATGGTAAGGTCAAGAGTCCTTCTGACAGTCACAACGCTGTACTTACTAATCCCTCCCCATTCTGATTGACAACCATCCGACCCCCACAAGAGACAAGCCCGCCACATGTATCATGACAAGTTTGAAGAGGGTTGCGAACCCGCTTCGAATTTCTGTTCATCAACTGATTTAAAACATCCCAACACCTGACCTGCAAATGTTTGTTACCTCCTCTTTTTGGGCTATGCTAGGCTGAATTGCGAATCCTTCTACTTCATCTGCTGCCATCTAGAAATCCCTGATGACTGAGCCTCCGCTTCTGACCTGCAAACCCTTGTGAGTTGCTTTTTTCTGAGCTACGCATCCCGAATACTTCCTTTGTCATGAACTAGAAATCTCCAGAATCTGACCGGCTCCAATAAGGATCACTTCTTACACCTGATCATTTCAGGGAGCTGAACGCAATCGTTCTGAACCCGGGAAAGCCTCTTGAATTTCGCACCTGACTACAAACATGCGAACGCTCTGCCAGAGTATTCCATGTGCGCGCTACGGAGGAGCTGGGCATCACGTTGGGGTTTACTGGCTTGGCGCATTGTCCAGTTAGAGTCGCCTGCGCCTTGGGCGATGGCCAGGAGGGCCAGGATGCTGCAGCCGTGGGCCAGGAAGACCAAGAAGCCGCCATGGATAAATGCTAAACTTTCCTGCGTCCCATTCCTCTCAAAACCTGCTGCGAACCGTCCCTCTCAAACTAGACAAACTCTGGAAACGAAGACGATGACCTCCCTCTTGGCATGTCCATTCCCTACAAATGGCCATGATTTGCAGCTTCTTCCTCATCTTGAGCCATTCTGAAATGCCTGCTGTTTTTCTTCAACTGAATACCCTCGCATCACTGAACGTATTTGCAAGCTGTGCCGTACTGAAGAGACTTCACATTTGAATGACTTGATCGCACCTCCACCTTCTTCTTGACACTCGCGAGGTCATCACGAACGGCCTCAGAAGGTGCAAGCGATGCTTCAGCCTGGCGCCGAAGGCACTCCTGTAAGCAATGAGGAAAACAACCAACCCCATGATGCTGAAAGCTGAGCCGCTGAGCCTCGTCCATCTTTTCCGCCTGCTCAAGCTCCAGTATCTTGGCTTCATCGACCTCAGCTTTCTTGTTGTAGACTCAGGGACTGCAGCCGAAAACAACACTGCCCCTCCTCCAGGTAATCCCGCTAGCATTGACGTACAGGGTTCATGATGGTCTGGGTGCAGAGCCCACTTCTCTTGTGCCTTTTGCAATGTGTCCTGGCCCAATGCATGATGATGCACTGCCCAAGACCTACAGATTCGTTGAGCTTTCTCACGTGAGCTTACTCTCCATCTGTGGGGGTGGGCTTCAGGTGAGCAACCCTGCACACAGCATCGGAAGATCCAGCGAGGCCACCTCGACTGCTGCAGCGCCCTGCGCCTCCGCCTTCTGCACGGCCTCGGACACCTCCAGAAACATTTGGCCCAGTGCTGTTCGATGCGTTTCCTAAGAGCCCAGAGGCAGCTGACCTATCTTCTGTGCTGACAGCTGTGAGGTCCATCAATTCTTTGGCGATTCCGCTGTGAGTTGCGCCGCTTTTTCTTGTAGCCAAATTCTTCTGCATCTGCACTCTGCGGGTTGTGTGGCTGGAGTTGACCGCGGCTCTGCTCAAAAACACTCAGAATCCATGACAACTCTTGCCTCTCGCAACAAATGGAGGCAAAATTACGAGCTGTCGGTTATGGTCAAAATGAATGATTTCTGCAAGAGCACAAGCTTCTTCTACTTGTTTGCCGGGCCGCGAAAACATTAATCCTGGTCTAGATGTAACATTGGACAGCTTGCACACGTCTTTCCTTTTCGGCACAGAGCAGACTCTCTTTGCAACAAACATTCTTTGGAAATGCTTTGAAACTGTGAACATCAAGCTCTCCAACATCAGCAAGTCAGTGGAGCGGTGAGCAGCAACCTTCTGCCCAAATCTCCGCTTCATCTTGTGGCGCGATACCACCAGCTCAAGACACTGTTGATACAAGAATGCATCGTAGCATATCGTGGCTCGGAAGAAGAGACAAGTGCGCGTGGAAACAAAAAGAGAAATCACGTTTGCCAAACAGCCATTCCCTCTCACCCAACTTGCCTCTGCCTGGACCTGTGCGCTTGCATTGCCCAGCAGCCTCGTCAGAAACTTGCAGAAAGCATAATAAAGACATATTTTGTTGGACGCGTGAAATCTAAGCCACCCTTCAGATTCGTTCATGGACCCTCGGTCGCACTGCAGCCCAAGGGTTCCAACCCTGGAGTGCTCAAACTTCTGTTCTCACTTCAAGCTGCAGGCTGCCGCCAGCGCACTGACGTCAGATGTACACGGTTGCAAAGGTAACGCTGACATGCAGCTGCTGCAATGCGTTGGAAATCAGATGTCTGAGAATGTCCGTGACGACTGAACTTAAACCATGTTGATGCATTGACCAAAAGGACCTCAGTTCTTCAGGAGTTCTGCTCACTAGGCGCCACGCGGGCTAGTGCTCTCAACCTGATCAGATCGTGCTGCGAGGATAGTGGCATCAAACATAACAATGTTGGTAGACACATGTAATTGGAACTATCCTGAAAATGGAAGCATGACAACATGGACCGCAGAGCTTCCCAGCCTTCACTTCAGACCCGTCCTCCGTAGCCTGCGCAGCTTGGAATCAATTTTGTTCTGCAAAGCTACTCAACTCGCTAGCGTCAGCTTCACCATAGGCCACGCCAAGGCCGTGCAGCCCGTGCATTATTGAGCAGAACAAGCTTCACGAATGTTGTGGCAGGCTACGGGAAGCTGGGCAAGACAATGTTCACTGCTCCTAAGTCATGCTTCACCCTGTGCTGACGTTCAACAGTACATGATGATCTGACACTACATCAGGCAGCGTTGGAAGAACACTGCTACCTGTCAGCGGACAGAACTACGTGTTTCTTCGTTTGGACCCATCATGAACTAACCCCTATGATTTGCAATATGTAGGCAGAGTCACACTTCCCACGACGCTTGGCTTTGAAGTTGGTGGGTCCCTATCGTTCTACATACGCATCAAGAGTAAACGGCATGACAACTTGGGGGGTATCGTAGGTCTCCATTGAAAACCTGAAATCGCGGAAGTCATGCCCACTCACAACAAACGCACATAAATATATGCCACAAGTTTGTGTTACCTTTTTGTTGGTAGAGAAAACTCTTTTGGGAGTATCTACTCACGTTTCCCATCAAATCCCACAAAGACGATCTAGCTGAAACCAAGCTCGTAGGGTTTCGATGTGCAAGCCTCAGGGTTGGAGGTTGTGGTCTCGTTCGAGTCATCGGAGCCCTGTAGGACACGCACATCTATCATCTTAGTGATGTTACGCTGTTCTCGGGCACAGTAGCCCGTGAGAAAAGTGCATCCAATGC